GAGACCGACTTGTGAATTTTGTGGCATGTATTTTTAAAATGACATTTACCAGTATTTTTCTTTGTCAATATAGTAATAAAATAATATTTTAGGTATTTTTTAATAAAATGCAATAACAGTTTTTCAAAAAGAAAAACGAAAAATACATTTTCTCTGAAAACTCAATAAAATTCCGTGTTTGAATTAAAATATTTATATAAAATAATTAAGTATTTCTAAAAGCATAGGAAGTAACATGGAACTATGAACATCATAAAAGCTCTTTGGTTCAACTGGATTTTTCTTGTTGTTGTTCAAGCTGCACAGATGTTGTATTGAACCAGATTCTGGGGTTCTTCAACCAAGATGTTCTTCCTCTTCTTGGACCTCGCTTTCCAAATATTTTTCCTTGCAGGATGGCTTGAAGTAGAGCATATCTGGATTCATTTCGCATAATATGCCCGAAGAATTGTAACTTTCGAGATTTAATGGTGGTCAGTACCTCTCGGTTCTTATGCATTCTTCTAAGGACCTCCTCATTTGTGACTCGGTCAGTCCACGGGATTTTAAGTATTCTCCGATATAGCCACATCTCAAATGCTTCCAGTTTTTTGCTCATATCTTCGTTCAAGGTCCACGATTCAACACCATATAAAAGGACAGATAAGACGTAACAACGATATAAATAATAATAAATGGAGAATATATAGTCAGAATAAAGGCTATAAGGTTGAAATGGGTCGGACTGTACTAAGACGAGAAGAAGATAAATTAATAAAGGAAATATTAAAGGGGACCAAAGTGCATATGGGAAGATCAGCTCAGAGATTTCAACAGAATGAAGATACTTAAAAGCATAACAAAAGTAGAAAATATAAAAGAATGGAGCTTTATCACCAATCGGGAGAAATCACACAACAAACTGTGAAGAAAGACGACATAGAACAAGAAAACAAAGAAAAAGGCGGAGTGATCCTCCGCGAAAAACAGATCAGAAGAGCTCATATTAATGGGCAGCTTGTACTCTTGCCCAGGACTGACAGGCTCATATCTAATATTTCTTTAAGATTATATTTATTGGACACTCTTACAGAATCTCTAGGAAGTATAAATACCTATAGAAATCTATAAATACGTTAGAAAATATTGTACTTGAATTAGTAATGTCACTTGCCTCTTTTATGGCAATTATATTTTAATAGTCCTGACCTCAGTCTAACTGAGAATTTATCGGTGCATCCTTAAAGAAGCTAATTTGCCTGAATGGCTATAAATAACCCCACAAAGTATTAACGTAACATTGAATTCATGAATTGTATTGCCTTAATGTTTAAACTTTTATCAATTTGTTGTTTATATATTAAAAATTATATTATATATTAAAAAATATATTTCAATAAAAGTACTATATAGTGGATATTAACACATACATTTCAGAGGGTTATTTCAATGTAAAATAACTTTTTTTAAATAATTTTTTGACCTCATAGTCTCTTCTTTCTCGTGATAATATATTATATTGGTATATGGTATATTTCTATTGTTTTTGTTTTTTTTTAGTGCTGCCTTCACATCTATACAATTTTAAAACTCATGGGCTCTTTTCCAAAAAAATCCCTAGTCAATGTTATTCCTAGTTTTATTTTGGTAACATTTTAATTTCTTTATTCCTAAAAATAACTACTAGTCACAAAAAACTCCAACCTATTATTAAGATTAAGAGCACATTAAGAGATTAAGAGTTCATTGTTCTAGGAACAGATGTGGAAGTTCTATTTTTGTAAATATTTTGGTTGTATAAATTTCTGGGATAATTTAACGTTAATCGTATTAAACGCAAATACGTTAATCTTATCATACATTCTACGTAGAACCGGTCACATGAGGTTTATACTTCACAAAAGCAGAAGCATGTTCTTTATCGGATAGCAGCAGATTTTTATCAAACAAATTGCTATTGATCAGAAAACTTTAATAGAAGAATATTTTGTCATCATATTGTTAATCAGAAATAATTATTATAGATACATACATTAAAATACGTTTAAATATTCTGTACGATGGAGATAAACATTCCGATCATTGTTCTTACCACTCCATACCAGAATATTCTCTTTGTTTATTTTGATTTTTGTTTGGCAGAAAACTTAATGCGTATTTCCCGTAAAATAATATTTTGCCTATTGATTACTGAACATTGTGACTTTTTATAGCACTATTAATCTAGGCAAATAAATAATTAAAGCGTACAAAGTCTTTCCAAAGGTTAAAAGTAAAACAGTCTACGTCACAATGCGCCACATCCAGATTAAATTGGCATCCAACCAAAATAAAAACCACAGGAAGAGATATTTATTTTTGAAATGCAGTTCTAATTGAATCTTCTCCAAAAATCGGAATCGAAATCTATAAATTAATCGCATTTAATTAACAATTTACGACATTTTTCAGTTATAGAATAAACAAAAAATGTTGAAAAATAACAATTTTTATTTGACTTTCACAGACTATTTTATAGATGAAATTATTTGATTTTTCTTGTCTGTTGTTGGGTTTAGTTTTGGAAAGGCTAGATCTCAGTGTGTTAGTTGTTTTGAATGTTGTGATGTACTTATTTCCCATCCTTTTCAATATTTCTTATAAGCCCTTTACATAATATGGTATTGTTGTCATCTTTCAATCCCGTGTTGTGAATGTTTCTAGATTGCTTGTGATGTTTTGTTTATTCCTTTTTTCAATCGTGTGAAATTCCTTGTGTATAAAATGACAATGGGTACCGCACAATGGGGTGAATAGGAACAGTTTCCAAGGTTCAACTAAGAAAAAGCCGCTAACACATGTTTCAAAAATAAAAATTATGCATTGTTATTTAGGTCTTACCTTCGTAGTTTGATATTTAGGTGTTAAAAAATTAGAAAGGTAAAGAATCAGAAAGGTAATACTCTAATCACAAAAAAATCAAAACCTGGTGTTTCACGAACAACAGTATGAAAATCAATTGTGTTGCTATTCATACAATTATAGGGCCAATAGGAACAGGTAAAAAGTGTATAAGGTGTAAAAAAACATACACATATAAATATAAAGTTTGTCTTATTGGGAACATTTATTGTTGAAATGAAAAATAACTTTTAAGGTCGGCTAATATAAATACAAATCACTAAGATCATTGTTAAAACTAATCATGTTTTTAAACCGAGACGAGGTATTCACGTTTATACATACAGACAGTTGTCTTATAATATCATCTGGTTTTAAAAATGCTTCCTTTTCAGTTGACACAGTTGAACATAGAGAACTTAAGTAACGTAGAAAGAAGTCTCTAGGGTTAACGCAAGGGTTCGTTTCTCAAGATGACAACACTAGCTCCTTGTCACTGTCTTGGAGAGAGGTTTCTGAAGCACTAGATTCTCGTTTTAGCTTCTCTAACTCCTGATGGTCCTGCTTCAGGTTCTAACTCTTCTAAATCTGTCGCCACAACACTTTTTCCCGATTTGACACAAATAATAGTAATTATGCAGTGTTGCAACAAGAGATATAATTCAAAAAAACTTTTTTTATGACCAGTTATCCAAATTATTTGAAAAATCTTTGTAGTATTTTTAACAGTTTCAATATCATCTTTTAATAATAAATATTTTATATAATAATAAGACAAAACAGTCTATTTACAGTGCTTTCCCATTGTTTGTCGGTAAATCAACACGCTTCAAAGGAAGGGTGGAAGCTGATGCATAGCATGTACTTACCCATCCTACCCTTCGAACGCGGCTATGGTCTGGTACGGTCAGTGTAGTGCTAATTTTACTATGTAGTGGTATAACGAAGTTATGTTGGATTTTTTATCATTGCATAAGTTACCCAATTTACTAAAACTTTTACCGCCAATACTGGGGGTGACAAAACTAAACTAAACTCTCGATCTCGAGAGGACACGCTCCATTGGGGTAGTTATCAAAAAGAAGAGTGTCCCTCCACGGTCCCTCCTATTTCATCAGCTGGGCTTGTTCCATGTCAAGGTGTCGTGTAATTTCAGGTAGCATTTCTGAGTCCAAAAACTTCGCCGAAATGTAACAAAAATATATTAAATTTGTTTTTGTACCGTGTGTTGTGGGTTCGTCGCTTTAGAAGTGAATTGTTTTTATAATAGGGGCAGTTGTTTTTTTATATGTTCTGTTTACTATTTATTATATATACATATTTACCTATTTAAGAAGTTTCAAGTTCACAACAAAACTATGTTTTTGGATTTTTCTCGTGTTTTGAAATTGTGTGTTTATAACTTTGTTTAAAAAAGGTATTTTCTATGTGGTATATTTATTATTTACTCAACCAAAAATTATCTCTATTTATTTAAACGAATGTATATTTCTAAGTAATATTAACTTGCAAATTAATTATTATCTGCATTTTTGGAAATATCAGTTCAAAACATCCTTTAATCCACCTAACTTAGTATTTCTTATAAGCCATAGTCATGGGAAGATATTTTCAAGGGCACTGCGCATTTTTAAAGGTTTTCTAACTGATAACTCAAACAACGCGTTGGAAATGTGAGTGAGGGAACATTTTACGCAATTAACATTTAAAATTAAAAGCAAATTCATTAAAATTCTTGTAAAATAACATTTACTAGTTGAATACCTAAAGTATTTGAAAGAAACACTCAAAATATGGCCACGCAAATGTGGCCAAATGGGTATAACAGTGGATAATGACACTATATACTCTCTTCTGTTCGCTGAAAGTCAAACGGTCTAGTACTGATAGCTGCTGACGTATATGTACTGATATATATATATATATATTATATATATATATATATATATATATATATATATATATATATATATATATATATATGTTTAATGTACATGTAAAATGTTTAATTATTATAAGTGTTATCAGTTTTTTATTTACTTAACATAAAGGATACAGCCATTTCTCTATATTGTATATACATTTACATTTACAAAAGTGTTTTACAACAAAAACTTAATAAACTTCATTTCTTGTTACAGTCTCCTTCAGAATTGTCAAAAAATTGGAGAAGGGGTTTACGGAGAGGTTTTCCTCTTACGGAATCCCGATGGAGGAACATCAGTGCTGAAAATTATTCCAGTGGAGGGAGACCAAATCGTTAACGGAGAAAGACAGAAAAAATTTGAGGAAGTTTTATCAGAAATCATAATCACAATGTAAGTCCGCATCATTACATTTGTTAATCAGGCTCATGTTGTAAATATTCTTTTTTTATTCTAGAGAACTGAGTAATCTCAGACACAACAAGAGAAATGGAATATCTTCGTTTACCGAAGTTCAGAAAATACAATGCGTTCAAGGAACATACCCTGAAAAACTTATAGATCTGTGGGATCTATTTGACGAAACTCGAGGATCTGAGAACGATTGTCCAGATACGTTTAAAGAAGATCAGTTGTACATCGTTTTTCAGATGGCTTACGGTGGAAAAGATTTGGAATCTTTCTTTTTCATCAACGCAATGCAGGCTTACTCCATGTTTCAGCAGGTAAGTTTCACATTATACCATATTATAGAATAAACAGTTTACATGATTTTCACAATTGCTATTCTATACAAAATATTTATTGCTTGATTCAGATTTAATAAATACCATAACAGTCCAACAGCCATTTTGGTGCCGGTGACATAAGAACTGATGCTTGAGTTCAAAAATGTTTTTTATTTTTTCGTAACAGCTCTACTTTTCAAGATAACTTTGGAGACAAGCTAATATTGGTCTTTTATACAGGCCACAATGGGAAACAAATTCACAAAAAATACATTTGTTACTCGCCACCAAAGAATTTTATTTTCAATGACTTTCAAGCATGTGTGTGCCCACAACAATCTCTCTAAAGTTTCCAAACTTTCTCTGCCTTCATATGGAGATCCCATTTTCCTTGATAACGAGTTTCCACGGTTTTAATATGCTAATTGATCTAAATAGCTGTGCAGGTAGTAAACTTTACTGCTCATCTTACTACCAAGAATATTAAAATTGGAAAGCATATTTTTTATTAATTGTATGTAATTCGCTGCCTTATGAATTCTAAGAAAATGTACTTCAACAAACAAACACTATGCTTTCAATTCAAATGTGCAATGTCCTGTCTTTAGAACGATGAACTATTCTGGCTTTCAGTTTTTCAGTACTTATTCCTAAAATTGTATGTGCCAAGTATCCAAAACATTTGTCTATCTTGATCTTAAGTGTTTACAGATTGCTCCATAGGCCTTAACTGAATATACAAGGGTGGCAATGTATTTTTTTCTCTCGCAAATAAAGATTAATAGATTACCTTTTGTTTTCCTTGAACTATGACATTTCTCCAAAAGCCAATATTTTTTAACCCACTGTTGAACTTTTTGGTGCTGTACTAAAGACATAAAAACAGGGATGTTTTGTATATCTACTTTGCTGTCCAAGTAGACAGTTTATCATTTTGAAATCGACAAAAAGTATCTGCTAATGTTCTGCCTACTTATTTTTTTTTCAGGATTATTGATATTGTGATTTTTTTTTATCATTCTGGTATGTAGTGTGACAAAAGAGTATTGACCCAAATTTATTAGTGTTGTGTAAAATGACACATTTCAAATTACATTTTAAACTGTCTATTTTGATATGTATTTCTATACTGATTTTTTCAACAGTTGTCGTATGTCGTTACCAAAATTTTCCAAACCAAATTATTTTCTTAAAAGCGTCCTAGCCTCTGTAAATCCCTTGGTACAGCTCATTCAGTTGTTGTTAATTGAAAAGATTTTCTGCTTAAAAATCACTATCGTTATTCAATTGCAAATATCTGACTTTATGAGACTTAGTTATCTTGGGAGTGTGGGTAAGATTACTAAATGTTGGAATGGCTATTTTTTCAGAATGCTTGAGTTCTATTATGTACTGGCTCCTTTGCTGAATCTATTTCCGTTTCTCATTATCTATTTATGTTTCTCATTATATATTTATGTTTTACTGTTAACAAATTACGATTCGTAATAAGTATAATGTTATTGCTTATATGAATGCACATGTCAAACAAAGTTCCTCAAACATTCATTGTAGTTCGTATGTCATAATGTGAAAATTTTAATGGCAACACGATACAAATGATTTGCTAAATTTTCCATTCGTTTTAATTTTCCAGGTTGCATTAGGCTTGGCGATAGCCGAAGAAGAGCTCCAATTCGAACATCGCGATCTTCATTGGGGAAACGTTTTGATATCTACAGTAGAAACCAATAAAATAGTATCGTTTACGTTGGAAAACAAAACATATAACATACCCACCATTGGTGTTGAAGTTGCCATCATTGATTACACTCTGTCTAGAATTGAGCATGATGGAGTTGTAATATTCAACGATCTTGGATTGGATCCAGATTTGTTTACTGCCGAAGGAGACTATCAATTTGACATCTATAGATTGATGCAGGAGAAAAACAGGTAAGGAAATAAACTAATTACAATCGTATACAAGAGTGTGGTCCAACCTTTTAGACGTTGCGGTCCTTATTAAATTTGAAATTGTTATGAAGGGCCAGAGAGCTCGACTCATTCGAAAAAATTTATTTTAAAAAATAATATATAAACGAAATATATTATTTACAAGTATTTTATTACGGTTTACAATTTACATGTTTAAAATTTAACATAAAATAAAAAATCAATGGGATATTTGAGGCAATGGTTTATTCCTTTTTATTCGCCACTGTTAATTCAACACGACACGTGCAGCTGACTGAAGCTAACTGCCCGCTCATCGGGAGTAGGTGTTCAAGGTTAACTACTTTCTTCAGATTACGGAAAGTTAAACAGGATTGGAATATGTAAAAGTTATCAATGGCAATATTTTTGAAATGTATTTGCGGGGGCCGCAGTTTAACGAGCCTCGGGCTGCATGCGGCCCGCGTGTCTGCGGTTGGACCGCAATGGTATATAATATACTCCCTTAGCACTTTCTACCAATTACCAGACATTGGCCTGGAAGAAAGTATTTTTTTAAAATGGAAGTTAATTTAAAATAAAACGGAATGTGGCAATCAGGGAGTGACCGTGGAAGGGAAACATAACTTTTTTATCGTCTAAGCACGGAGAGATGGTTTTTAATTTAATTTATTTAATTTTAATTTAATTTTATTTCTTTCTTTTAACTTTATTGTATTTTGTTTTAATTTAATTTATTTTATTTTTAATTCTAATTCTAATTATAATTTTATATTTTATTTTATTAAGAACCATGCATGGGACTGAGTTTACTAGTCCACGTTGTGTGTGGTCGCGCAATCCACCACACCGATCAATGCATTTAGTCCGTAGCCCTCGATATCAAAGCCATATTTACACAAATCTCTTGAAAGTAGTATGTGTGTCTGGTAAAGAGAGGTGCCACGTGTACTTTGATCGTCTTGGGACGGGTGTCATTAAAAAACTTTATTGCTAAAATACCTAGTATGAATAATTGAGAGTAGAGTATTTTGTATTGTATTGAGTATATTGTTTTTTTCATACAACTCCTTAAAAACAAGATTTGTTTAATAATTTGTAAACAACGATTTTATAATGTTTGTTCTCTCCTTTTCAGAAACAACTGGAAGGACTTTGAGCCGTTCTCCAATCTCTTATGGCTTCACTACATTTTAGACAAAGCGATTTTGGGTTTAAGATACAAATCCCCGAAAAGTAAAATCCACAAGACTTATTTAAGAAAACTCAAAAACCTGAAGGATGACATTTTGTCCTATCAAAATGTCAAAGATTTTATAGTTGCTAATTTGTTAGACATATAAATTAAAAGTTTGTATTTTGTTATATACCATGTGTTTATCTTTTATATACAATAATAAATGTTTACATTAAGGTAGCTGGATTCAGAACAAAAGTAAAAATATTGTTTACTAAATTACTTAACTAAATATAAATTTGTTTTAAAAAATTACTACTAGATCGTTGTTTCCTGCTAGTTTTTTTATGAAGATACATCAAACCAAACTAGGATCCAAAATTTCCAAAGTCCTGCTGTTTTGGGAAATAAACGACTGGATAATATTATCTGTACAAAAAAGATTGTAAAACTTGTACTTCTTTTAAAATAAGGAAAAATAAACGAATCTCGACCACTAAACTTAGCTAATACATTTTTTCAAAATTTTTTTGCTATTGGATCGTTTGCTTAGAAAGTTTTTAAATAATGAATATTTTTGAAAAAAATGAATATTTTTACTACATACTTCAAGGGAAAATTAAGTTGTCATTTTTTTGAATATGTACTTTAATTAAAACCAGCTGCCATTAATACTGTACAAAAAAGAAATTAAAAAATATATATTCTCTGCAATTCCTTTATGTACAAAATTGTTTACAAATATTCACAATTAATTTTTTATTTGTGTAAAGAAATGTTGCCATATTTTTCAAAATCGATTAGAATATTTTAGGTGCCTTATTATTGTGTAATATAACGCACATTTTTTATAGATATGTGTTTGTGTGTAACTAAAAATGTAGAAACTCACTTAATGACTAATAAGGTCACTGCCAAATATTTTTTATGCTGCTGTGTAGATATGTACAAAAGGTGTTGATTTTTATACTGCGAATAAATCGTTCTATGATGTATATTTGTTTTTATTCTTTCCCAAGATACCCTGATTCTGAATTTTTTGAATTGAAAGTTGAGATGTGCCGGAAGTCTTTTATAAATACAAGGTCTTGTAGATACGGTATGGAATGAAGTTTATTTGTATACCAAATAGTAAATATGGGCTCTCATAAAATGCCGTAAAGAAGCATACAGTAAATTAATCTTTCACCATTGTAAAATTTATACCGATGGCTCAAAATCGCCTGCTGGTGTAGGGTGTGCCATTTACAAAGACAATATTCAAGATTATTTTCAGTACAAATTAAAGTCTGATTGCTCAATATTCACAGCTGAATTGGTAGCCACTGTCAAGGCGATAATTAATAACACATATTTCGAACGATATATAATTTTATCCGACTCACAGTCTGTCCTCCTCGCATTGAGAGCTTCTAAAGACATACAGTGCGTTAAGTTTTTGATTAGGTATTGCACACTATACGGAGCGCTAAAATCGGCAACGTTGCAAATGTTCGTTCTCCGACCCGAAAATCTACACCGACAGAAAATCATTTATTTTAGTTTAGTAACTCACAACAACGTTAGGGATGTACTTCTCTGTCGTCCGATCTCATGTTTCATTACGTAAAGCCGATTTTAATAGTAGGAAAATCGATAAAAATGCACTGAACTAATCGGTGCATTGTTATCGATTTTTATTAATGTGAAAATTTTTTTGTGGTTGAATTAAAAATAAAAGCGTTGAATTAAAAATAATTCTTTATGACCTACAGAAATGGTTCAAATAGTTGACCTACGGCTGAACAGTACCCCAATCTGTCATAAAAACTTCTGCGAACAGATGAAAGAGTTTCTGCTGTAACAGAATTGGAGACTTCCCTTATTCGATTTTTTAATTCATCCAAATTTTGGGCTCTAGCCTCAGGATGAGCGTAGATAATGCTTTTTAAATGTCCCCAAGAAAAAGAAGTCCATGGGTGTAAGATCTGGAGATCGCGCAGGCCACTTAATATCGCCTGTTCCACTGGTAATTCGATTCGGGAAAGTATTGTTTAAATACTCCCTAATAATTCGAGCGTTGTGAACTGAACAGCCGTCTTGATGAAACCAAACATTCTCCAGATTTACATCAGGAAGATTGAGAATAGCGGGAAGAACATGATTCTGTAACAAATCGAGGTATACTCTACTATTCAAGTTGCCCTCAATAAAAAATGGACCTATTATGTGGTCTCCTAAAATGCCAGTCCAGACGTTAACTTTTTGAGGACGTTGAGTTCGGTAAACAACACTTCTGTGCTGGTTTTCCCGCGCCCAATACCTTGTAATGGAAGGATTGTGTCTCCCTACTAACGAAACAGAAGATTCATCAGTGAATAGAATGTTTTTAATAAAATTTGGTTCACTATTAGCCTTCGTTATTAGAGTTTCACAAAACTCCATTCTTCGAAAGTAATCGTCTGGATAAAGCTGCTGCGTTTTCGAATATTTAAAATTCTTGTAACCGTGCTTTTTCCATACTTTCGTTACAGTAACATTGCTAACATCTAACTCTAGCAACGCTTCTACTTGAACGTGTTGAATCTACCTCGATTGTTGCACAAATTTGTGTATCCCGGTATTCTCTTTCCTCAACTTTTTCTGGTAACACTTCTCGAGCGTGACATTTTCTGCAATTTTTGAGGCAATAACAACTCCCAAAATTTTTAACAATATTATAAATTGACTGTACACAAGGAATTGGTCTTCCCTCAAAAAACACAGAAAATAAATCTACACACTGTTGCGCAGAATTGCCACTATAAAACCATTTTATTATTTGAGCTTTTTCCGCGGCCATATAAACAGACATGTTTACAAAAATAAATTAAAACTCTACGCTGTTATACCTTTAAACAACCACGGTATAATGACAATATGTCAAATTTGCCGACCGGCGACGTGCAACGACGAGTCAACGAATCAGATATGTAGTGCAAGTCGAAGACGCGCAGTGTTGCCATTTATAGAGTGTATACCTAATCCAAAACTTAACGCACTGTATACAGATAACGACAGTGTTTTGTTGACCATAGGAATTAAGATTTATTGCAATCCTGTCTCTAGAGTATATTTATTATAGTGCTCTAAAACTAATTTTTTAGCCTTGATAGCAATACAAATAAATAAGTAATATGCTTTATTGTCACTGAAAATTGTACAACTTTGATGGACAAAGCTTATAAAAAGAAAAACAAAAAAATCAGAATAAGAATCGTTTGTACTTTTAAATAAAGAAAAATACAAGAAAATTCTTCCAAACTTAAACATAAAAAATGCTACCTAATTAAGAACCTACAAACTTCGTAAAATATACCTAACAAAAAATAAAAATTAGGAAAGCAGATTAATGAATTAAGGGCTCAAATATTCCACCTCCTTGTGCTAAAAAGTAACCAAATCGCTCATACAGATTTCTCCTCATATTTTGGAGTAGGGCTGGTGTAATGCTTACAGAGCCCTGAAGTATTTTTGCCCTTAATTCGAATAGGTTTGTGGCCCTTTCAAGCTGATGCCTATAAATGTGTTCTTTGAGAAAACCCCAAAAAAAGAAATCGTTAGGCGCAAAGTCACAGGATCTAGCGGGCCATTTAATTGTACCACGTGTACTTATCAGTCGATCAGGAAACGTTTGATTGAGGAAGTCAATAGTTGCTCTAAAGTTGTGAGCCGAACACCCATCCTGTTGGAAATGAGAGTTCGACGAGAAGACGTCGAACTGCGGGAATGATCTCATTCTGTAAAAGTTATAAATATTTGGGCCCGTTTAGGTTTCCATCGATAAAAAATGGACCGACGATATGGTCGCCTAACATCCAAGTCCAAACATTTGCGGATGCTGCGTTCGCACTGCAACACTGAGGTGCTTATTTTTCCGAGAATAATACCTTGCAACGGATGGATTTTGTTTTTTATGTAATGAAAATAAAGATTCGGTCAGAAAGTAAAATATTTTTTAAAAAGTGTACATTTTCATTGTGTTTAACATAAATTCACCAAACTTCATCCGCCTAAAGTTATCTTCTGGAAACAGTTCTTGTGTTGGTTGTATCTTAAACAGTGATATCCATTCCTGTTGATAACTCGCTGGACAGTTCGAGCATTCACGTTAACTTCCCTAGCAATTTGTACACTATTGCAGAGTTCACTAGCTTCCACAAAAGCACAAATATCAATATCCCTGTTTTGACGCTCCTCATCGTCAGGTCTTATACGTGGTTCATTACCTTCATGACACTTTTTACAACTGTTTACACATCCCGAAGTTTAAAGAAAATGTTTAATGGTATTTTTAACTGTTGTATGGGGGTATATTTTCGAAAGTAACAATAAATAAATCAATTACTTTGCGTATCGAATGATCCTGAAAGTACCATGTTACAAATTGCACGTTTTCTTGGGCGGTATACAACCTAATAGGCATTTTATTAATTATTTGTTTATTCTTTCAGAACTTCGTTTGAAACTTTTAATGTCAATGTGACAATTAGGACAATTCATACTCTCTGTGAAATGAATATAGAGGTGGAAACGTGTAACATGTCACAGCGATTGCCATTGTGTTGTATGGTCAATAAAACAATGTGATCTGTATACCAACAGACTAATTGTAGATGCTCTTGAAAAGCTAAGGATCCTAACTTGAGCTGAAAAGCTAAGACCTCATCAAACAAAAACTGACTCAATTTACAAAGCAAAAAATCCTACCAAAAAGGATTTAGGAAGGAAGATTTTGTCATCTATTCCAATTTATATTCACGGCATTTTTTTAATAGGATGTTAAGCGTAAAAAGTGCCTCCCTGGTTCCCATAGCATTTCTAAAACCAAATTGGGTATCTGCAAGATCTTCTTCGCATCTGCGTCTAATTCTGTTGTGAAGTATTCTGGGGAAAATTTTAAGAGTGTAGCTCATTAGGCTAATTAATCGATATTCTGAGCATTTTCTCGTATTGTGTTTTTTAGGTATTGCGATAAAGATGGATTTGATCCAATCTACGGGAATCACTCCGGTGTTAAATATATTGAATTAAAAAGTCTTACTACTACTTTTATGTTATCATTCTCTATTAGTTTCAGAAACTCAGTTGGTGTATCACCTGGACCACAAGCTTTTATAATTTTAGCATTATTTATAGCATGTTCTACTTCGTACTCTGTCATCCATTTATTTTTCTTGATTAAGTTTTTTCTATAATCATTGTTTGTGGAGATTTCTTTAACTTGATTTTTAAATTCACTCCATAGTTCTTCTGGATCTTCTAGTTGTTCTCCGATGTTTTTTATTCTATTGTTAAATTCTTTTTTAATGTTATGTTTTATGTATATATCGTCAAAGTTAAGTACATTGGTTTTTGGTTTTTGTCGCTGAACTCGTTTTAACCTCAGTTTAATATCTGCTACAAGTGGTTGATGATCAGATCCAATATCTGCCCTAGGATATGTAGTGACTTTTTTGACGGCATTTTGGAAACGCTCATTTACAAGTATATAGTCTATTTGATTTCTTGAAGACTCAGGATTATTGCCATCATCAAATGGGGCTTTCCAAGTGTATAGTCGTCGCTTGGGTAGTTTATATCAGGTGTTTGCAATGTCATCAATATTATTTTATAAAATATAGACATAGTTATAATAGAACGCATAGGCAACATCTTTCCAAACCCTTTTAAAAACAAACAACGTAAGCTAATTACATGCATTATGCAAAGTAGCCTGGACGCATGGGTGTGCTCTGAAACATATATGTGTCAACTAACTAATGACACACTTAGATAATTCCTTGTACTGATATCCTTTAGTTTCTTGAGGGCCTTATGATGCTGTCTGTATAACTTATAAACATCGAAACCGGTCGCCCAGTCTTTCGTTTAATAAAAATCTACAACCTACCACGGATTGTGAACATAAGACCCTGTATTCGAAGAAATAAATTATTTAATGAAATGGAACATCTAGATATACCGGCCAACAA